TTCCAATAGGCTCATCCTTTAAATAAAATTTTTAAAAATATTTTATTAAATTAATTTAGTTGAGATTTAGTTACATATTTCAATAAGAATCAAGCAAAATTATTTTCTAGTAAAAGTCAAGGAGTCTAGGGAATAACATTAAATGAGATCATAATCGCGGTCTCATTATAAACATTTAACAACATATCAAAAAATGAATTTTATCTTTGTTTCACTCCAATGATTAAAGAAATTTTCTTTTTTGAAATGTTATATCAGAAAAACAGGTCTTTCAATTTTGGTATTGAAAGACCACGACTTACATATTAAATATTAATTATACTTAAGAAAATAATATTTACCCGATCATTCGTCATTGAAGAGAATGTGTTTGTTGTAAAATTATATTTCATACTGAGAATAATGTTGTCATTTTCTTTTTTTAATTGTTTTTATTTTAATATTATACATACATATTTAATTTGATATTTTTTTTATATTATTTATCAAAAATTTATGTAAAGCATATAGTTATTTTTACTATTTACTATTTCCTATGGCTATGCAGTAGGCGGCGTGGTGTAATGGCTAGCACATCAGGTCTACTGAAGATGCTGGTTCGCTCCCAGCCGCCCAATAACCTTTTGCACTAGCTAAAGGAGAGAAATAGCTATAGCCTGCTGCTGAGGTTGCGAGGTGTCCGAGCTAAAAACGCTCGAGACCGGGCTCATTTGATAGAGAATGTGCCCTTTCTAGCAAGGATTTTGAGACGTTTTTGTCCGTTTTTATCTGTACAAGATATGGCCCTCCAAAGTCCAAAATTTTGCATAATTTTCCCCCCTCAAATAAATATAAACATTAAATAATGGGTTAATTTTGTTGGCGTTTGTGACCTCGCAACCTCTCAGTGTAAATATTTGTTAATTAATTGGTGACTAAATATTTTATATTCTCATTATTTTCTATAAATTATCTTAAATAACTTTTCATAGATACATAAAAATAAATAATACAATTTTGTAGATTTAAGCTTCTTTTAACTCTGCTAAAGGATCTATGTTTTGTATTTTAAAATTTTTCCGCATAAAAGCAGATTTATTGAAACTAAATAAATATTTTTTGTTAAAATTCCTTCAAAGGAAATTTATAGAGAATAATCATCTCAATTAAATTATTTAAAATTTTTCCATCAATTAATTTTTATTTAAATTCTATATACAATTTTTACCACATTTCCCGTTACTTTTCTTTTTACAAAGAATTAATTCAAAAACATTATTTCCATTATCTGTAGCACCAAATGATGGAATATCAATTGAGAGAATTCCGTTTTCTTTTATTTCTGTATTTATTACTGAAGTTTTTAAATTGGAGCCGGGGGAATGTGTTATAAGTTTAATTGTTTGTGCTGGTGGTTTAGTTTCTTCATTAATTCCAGTTCCCTTAAATTTAATTTAAATTTTAAATTGACCCTGTAACATTTTTAGATATTGGTTTATTGTTGGTAAAATAGTTATAAGGGGATCGGGGATAGGATTTCAGCGATATAACGAAAATTATGGACGGTTTCGAAATCTCGATCTCGATAGTCACAATTTTTGATCTGATCTCGTCTTTTCCTGAGATATTAGAGTATAAAGGTATTTTAAGGGCATTTTTGTGTGCGCTAATTAGGCTTATCAAAGAAAACTAGAGAATGGTCAAAATAAATAATTAATAAAAATTGATTTTCATACCCCTACACTTACTTCTGTAGTTATTTCAGTTGTTCCAATAACTTCCTCGGAAAATTCAATCTAAAATTTTTGAAAGATCAGCATAGTTCAAGTGGAACACTCAATCAGTTATTCTTGTTTTAGTATTATTGTCAGCCATAGGGGTATCCCTCTAAATTCCATTTATTTTTAAATTCATTACATAACTTAAGAATATCTCTATCATTAAAGAACCAAATCCTTTTTGGCTGAAATGAACAAAAAAGCGTTGACAAATCCCCTTATCTTTAATTAACCGATCATTGTACGTATTTTAATAACCTTTTGGCATTCATCATCATCATTTTCTTTTTCGCTCCCAAAAGTTGTGTAATCTGTCAAGAATCCACCGTTCCTAAGTTGTTCTTCATCCTCTTTATTAAAGCTTGCATGTCTTTTAATATTACAATCATTACATTCATCACAAGCTTGAGTACCAACCCAGTTATCTAATTGAATTTGGAAACGTTTTGAAAGTTTTGAGTTTGTCCCATCGACATTGCAAATTGAAAATGGTGATCTAATTTATTGTTTATTGAATTTAAATTTAGTTAAATGTTTTTTGCCAAATTTTAATGATAGTAGTTTATAAACTTCATATTTGTTTCCATAAAAATTTTTTGATAATTTATTTACTTTGTGACAAAAACTTTTTTTTGTTCGCCAACCCTAATGCTTAAATAATTCCAACCATAATAATCTACTTTGTCCCTTTCAGGACCTATAGTATAATTTAATAAAATAATTATTTACTCTGATTCCTCATCTTGTGGAATAACAGAAGTCAAAAATATAATTAATGTTAGGATGATAATAATTAATAAAATTAATTTTTGCATTCTAAAATCTAAAATACTTCCTCTAAATTACAAAAAAATTTTTTTTTTAAATCGGCCGAATCTTGCGACAGACGCTCATACACTGATATTGTAGTTACTAGATTGAACTATTAGCGTTTCGTGATTTATATTTTATTGTTAGCGGAATACTCCGATTTGAGTGCGCCTTGCGATTTTTATGTAACTGAGGCATTTTGCATGTTTTATGAGGATTGCTTGCGATACTGTTCTTTATTTAAAATTTTTTTAAATATTTTTTAATTATAATAATTGAGAGAATACTTTATGCATAAATTAGAAAAATAATATTTATTATTTAGCTAACTTTAAACAAATCTGTTTTTCAAATTTGTTGGTTAACCACATATTTTAATAACATAATTTAATGAAAATAAAATGACTTTGCTTTAGTTTTCGTTTATATTTTTATTTTAGTTAATTAATCATAAAATAAATTCAAATATTAGTTATAAAAATATTTACTCTCTCATATTAATCACTAACTGAATAAATTTTAAATATATTTATGGAATTTAACAAACCGGCTGGGAGTACGCTTAAAATCCAATCTCTACTAATAATAACTGATACATTTTTTGATTCAAAAACTGTAGCAAATACACTAAAAATTGTGTTTTCAGTTTCCAAAATAGATTAGCAGAAACCATTTGCAGAATATAAGCGTAGACCATGGAGGAAAATTCTTTGAATGGTTTGTAAGTAATATGTAGCAGAAAACTTTGGTAAAGATTTATGTAAAGCATGACTTAGATTTTGGTATTTTTCTATATTATTTAACCTAGGGTTGCGCCCCGACCCCGACTAACCCCGACCCCGACCCCGAACCCCGACACTTTTTGACCTAAAACCCCGACCCCGACCCCGACATTCCCAACCCCGAAAACCCCGACCCCCGAAAGTTCGACCCCGACGACCCCGAACCCCGAAAAATTTTTATGACCCCGACTCAAACTGCATTAATTAACTAGAGATCGGAACGGGATCGGGACTTTGATGTTAAATATATGAAGGAAAAGGGAAATGAATATTTATATTTTCTCCTGTTTCCTTTTGTTGGTCGGTGGGCGAGTGGTTAGGTTAACTGACTTCACCCATCTAGCTATTTTGATAGGTATGGTGTTCGAATGCATCGATTGAAATGAGACTGAGAAAATTTTTCTTCTCAAAAATAAATATTTTTAAACTTTGATCTTGATTTTAAATATGCAAATTTATTTTTTTTAATATTTTAAACTTGAAAAAATTTTAGAAATTTTAAACTAGTCATGAATTTTCCAAAATTTTCACCTGTGGCGTAGAAAATGGAAGAAATCTGTCTCTTGGCCTTCCTAAATTCTAAAAATTTTCGCCTGCGGCGCAGAAAATGGAAGAGATCTGGCTCTTGACCTTCCAAAATTCTCAAAATTTTTGCCTGCGGCGCTAAACTCAATGAAGGGATACAGAGGCTTTAGGAGAAATTGATGGATAGATGGATTTCTCCAGTTATACTTGCAAATCCCCGATATCCCTTCAAATCCCTCTAAATCCCATTATATCCATCTTAATCCTCTGATATGCCTTCATATCCCCTCACTCCCTTTAAGAGGGGGAGTAAGAGTTACCTTGTGGGTTTGGGGATTTTGGGGATTATGAAGGATAACTTGGATAAAGTACTTCTTGCGCCTTCAACTAATAACGAATTAGATTTAGAAAGTGAAGATAATGAAGATTAAGTTGATTTTTTAATAAAAATGTTGATTTTGCACAGTAATATTGGATAAAAATGCTGGATTTTGTAAATTTTCACTTCAACCCCGACCCCCGACCCCGACCCCGAACCCCGACATGATTTTCAGCCCCGACCCCGACCCCGAACAATTTGAGCAACCCCGACCCCGACCCCGACTTTGTCAACCCCGAAAACCCCGACCCCCGACTTTTTCAACCCCGAAGGCTCGGGGCGCAACCCTAATTTAACCTTATTTACCCTCATTTATTCCGTAATATTTATGATAAACGAGAAAAACTGGTATATTGATAAAGTTTTTTATCATAAACTAAAAAATTTCAATTTAAAATCACAGCATTATTTATTAAAAAAATTAATTTCATTGTTGCATAGACTTTTCTATTTCACTTCGTATTTCTGGTTTTAAATTTTGCAAAAAATCTTGGATAAGTTTATTCTTTTCTTGTGCTGGTAATGTTGGATTTTTGGCGATTGAACTCAATTTACTTAAATTTAATTAAATTTTACTTTATTTTATTTTATTAAAAAATTTATAAATCTAATTAAATTTTAACTTAGTATTCCCTTAGAAACTGGCACTTTTCTATTTTTTCGATATTTAATCAAAAATTTTGAAAGTCCGAGAACTTTATTATGCATAATTCCCTTTTACTCATATCTCCTTATCTCATGAGTAGTTTAAATAAATTTGAAATCATACGCATCGGCCTCTTTAGCTGCTGAGCTAAACTTCGCAATTGCTGCTTGATGCAATTTTTCTGCTTCAACTTCTGCTTTGCTTTTAGCTTCTTCAAACTTTGCATATTTTGCCTAAATTAGAATTTTTAATTCTCAACACTTATAGGTCCATTAAAATATCACAAAAACAGAGATAGATATTTACATCAATTCCCGTTATAAGAGGATAATGAAAGGTATAATGAAAGGCAGACATATTGAAAGGAAAGGCAGAACATGAGCTTGCAACGGGAAACAATATTCAAGTTACCGGGATACATTATAAAGAAAATCTATTAAATAAAATCAACTACACGGATTCTAAAATGTCATTTGGCCCGCGGTTGGTTTTTAAGACTTCTTCGAAGCCATTCGTCGAAGTTTTCAGAAATTTTGTTAAAATATAAAATATTCAATTACCTGGATTTCAGGAGTCTGTTCAGCTATCCAATCCTTAACTAATTGTTCAATTTCCCCGTCTGTCTTTTGTCCACTTTTTATTAATAATTGATGGAATTCAGTAATTTTATTTTGTGGGGCGCCTTCCAAAAAGGGAGGCGGTGGAGGTAATCCGGCACTTTGAGAGAATATTTTTACAACAAAAATTGAAAGAAAGATAATAGGCAGAAGAGATTTTTGAATGGAAGACATTTTGAGTATCTTTTTTTAGTTTTTTTGAATTTCTAAATTAAATTTAACAAAAATTTTTTTAAATTAAATATCATGAGCTTTTAATTCCGTTTTTCTAATTATAAGTAATAGAGAATTGGAAAATGTATGAATAAAAAGTTGTGATCTCGATTGGGTCCTTTCTAGGGATCTAGCCGACACAAAAATTCAATTCCCGATTTTCGGGAATCGAGAATTAAGTCGGTAGATCCCTGGTCCTTTCCACAATATTAAAAAATAGAAATTAAAAAAGAAATTAAAAAAAAGATATTCAATAATATATGTATTCATAAAGCCTTAAGTATTAAAAAGAGTAAGAGCTTCAAGAAAAATTTAGTCACCAGGCAGGAATCGAACTACCAAACTTAGCTTAAATTTTTGTTTAAATTTAGCCTAAATTTTTGTAAAACTGGGATACTTGAAGGATAACCTTGCCTTGCTTAAAAGTCATTTAACGCGCCTAAGATTCTTATATTTTGCCATACTACGTATTTAGAGTTTACATACATTTTTGGGGTTGGGGAAATAAAATCTGAGGTATATGTTATTTTGATTGTATTTAGAATCCAGATCCGACTACAGCCCTTTTAAAATTTTCAACTTAAAACCTACACATTAAACTCTGTAACCATATTAACGATCCTTGAGTTTGTTCTGGATTTACTTTCCATCTAATATAAGAAGTTAAGTAAGGCAAAATATTCCCTGAATGAGTGAAATAAAGATTGGAAGAATCTTGAAAGTTAAATTTTAACCAAAAGTGTAGACCAATCCCAAAGTAAATTGTAGCACTACACCTGCAGTAATAACAACAGTCGCTCTCCACTTTGGTGGAAATAATTTTATTAAATGATCTTCGGTTTCCATTTAATTGATAATAAATTTATTGACTATTTTTATTTTGTGATTATATTTTTTTTCAGAAAATTTAATTAAAAGAAAATTATTTTATAAAGAAATTTAAACATTTTGTAATAAAAAAAAGTAAAAATACAAAAGAATAATTAATTTAACGGAAATGAAATAATAAAAAATATTTATAATTGGACTTTTTTGATTAAAGATAATGAAACATAAGGGGAAATTAAGTGTTTGTTTTTGTTTTTTCTACATAATTTCTTTGAAGACACAGCCAAAAAGTAATTTTTATGATAACGAGAATTAAAAGAAATTCGGCAATTTTAATGAAAATTGCATCATAAGCAGTATAAACATATGTACATTGGAATTGTATTTGTTGATCTTCACGTGTTTTAAAGTACAATTTAGGGTTCCATAACATATCTCTGGACTAAGAACTTATAGCCATGTTTTGGACAGTCATTTAGAGTTGTAATTTTGTTTTTCTGTGTATTTTTTAAATATGATTATGGAGAATCTTCGGCACATATTGAAATTTATTTTTAAATTTTGGAAATAAAAGTATGTAAAAGTTGAGAATTTTTCTTCTCTCAAAAGGAAAAAAGTTCATTAATAAAACAATTTGTAAATTTTGTGGATGGTATTTTTTGGTATTTTTTTGTTACGACAGATATTCGATTCCATATAGGTAGTTAAAGTTAATTGTCTTTATATCATACTTTGATTGAATAGGTAATGTGAAGTTAGGAACCTAAGATATCCAATTATTTTGAGTAATTTGTAAAATGTTTGGGTACTTAGTTTAAAAGTAAATTATTAGTATAGTAAATAAATACATTAATTTGTCTTTAATCAATCATTTCGTTCAAACCCCCCATATTTATTTGTTACTCCATAAATTGGTAGAAAAGTAACCTAAAACCTGCGCATTACCTTTAATGTTTTAACTAGGGTTGCGCCCCGACCCCGACTAACCCCGACCCCGACCCCGAACCCCGACACTTTTTGACCTAAAACCCCGACCCCGACCCCGACATTCCCAACCCCGAAAACCCCGACCCCCGAAAGTTCGACCCCGACGACCCCGAACCCCGAAAAATTTTTATGACCCCGACTCAAACTGCATTAATTAACTAGAGATCGGAACGGGATCGGGACTTTGATGTTAAATATATGAAGGAAAAGGGAAATGAATATTTATATTTTCTCCTGTTTCCTTTTGTTGGTCGGTGGGCGAGTGGTTAGGTTAACTGACTTCACCCATCTAGCTATTTTGATAGGTATGGTGTTCGAATGCATCGATTGAAATGAGACTGAGAAAATTTTTCTTCTCAAAAATAAATATTTTTAAACTTTGATCTTGATTTTAAATATGCAAATTTATTTTTTTTAATATTTTAAACTTGAAAAAATTTTAGAAATTTTAAACTAGTCATGAATTTTCCAAAATTTTCACCTGTGGCGTAGAAAATGGAAGAAATCTGTCTCTTGGCCTTCCTAAATTCTAAAAATTTTCGCCTGCGGCGCAGAAAATGGAAGAGATCTGGCTCTTGACCTTCCAAAATTCTCAAAATTTTTGCCTGCGGCGCTAAACTCAATGAAGGGATACAGAGGCTTTAGGAGAAATTGATGGATAGATGGATTTCTCCAGTTATACTTGCAAATCCCCGATATCCCTTCAAATCCCTCTAAATCCCATTATATCCATCTTAATCCTCTGATATGCCTTCATATCCCCTCACTCCCTTTAAGAGGGGGAGTAAGAGTTACCTTGTGGGTTTGGGGATTTTGGGGATTATGAAGGATAACTTGGATAAAGTACTTCTTGCGCCTTCAACTAATAACGAATTAGATTTAGAAAGTGAAGATAATGAAGATTAAGTTGATTTTTTAATAAAAATGTTGATTTTGCACAGTAATATTGGATAAAAATGCTGGATTTTGTAAATTTTCACTTCAACCCCGACCCCCGACCCCGACCCCGAACCCCGACATGATTTTCAGCCCCGACCCCGACCCCGAACAATTTGAGCAACCCCGACCCCGACCCCGACTTTGTCAACCCCGAAAACCCCGACCCCCGACTTTTTCAACCCCGAAGGCTCGGGGCGCAACCCTAGTTTTAACGATTATTAATATTTTCTATTGTCGTTCTAGTAATTCACTAAAAGAATTACTCTTACAAATTAAGGGCTTTCTTCGAGACATTTTTAATTAATATGCCTTCAAATACTAAAAAAGAATTAAATTATAAAACTGCTCAATATCATTCTAATAACAACAATGAACAAAAATTTGAAGAAATCTCCCTTAATTCCAACAGAAGAAAGGAATCTAATATATCACATAATGAAGGGGGACAAAATTTTAAGTTAAGGTGTGAAGTAATTTTAAATTTTAAAATAAATGTAAAGAAAAATTCCTGGCTATTTTTACACTTCCCCCGTCCTTTTTTCCTTCCCTTTTCCGTATATTCGTTGGAATTTTAGCAATTTATTAATAAAATTAACAAAAATCAATTTCGTTCAATTTTAAATTTTTTTGGTAAAAACCAATTAAAATTTTATTATTTATCGACCAAAATTAATAAATGTAATTTTCTATTAATTTTATTATTAATCAGTAAAACATTCTCAAGTCAGAAATAAAAAAGACTAAATAAACATAGAATTAAATTATAATTAATAAAACAATTTCTACCTTCTTGTCTGAAATTGTCTGAACTAAATAATTTCGTTAAATAATTAACTGAAAGACGTTGAAGAAACATACCTAATTTATTTCAGACAATTTCTGCCTTCTTATTAAAAATAGACTGCCTTTTAGACTGCCTTTAATACACTGCCTTTAATAGACTGCCTTTAATAGACTGCCTTTAATTAAAAATAGACCTAAATTAATTAAAACAAAAATTGGGTGCTCCTTCAACGTCTTTTAGTGTTAATTAATTTAAAAAATTATTTATTTAAAATTTTTTTGTAAAGTTTTGTTTATCTATAAATGTTTTTGTAAATAAAGCTAATTTCGGGTAAACTTGTATTTTTTCTCTACAGTAAGTTAAGAAGGTCGCTATAAGTAATGGCACTCAAAAGGCGACACAGCGCCAGTTGAGTTTCTGCCTTTTTGCCTTTCCTTCTTCAATTAAAAATCTCAGAAAAAAATTTTTTTCTTAAAGCTAATGCATATTTTTAGGAATTTCTTTTCACTCATTCTAATTTTCTATAATTTTAAATTTTATTTTTAAGGGAAATTCCAAAAAATCAGTCGCCTAAAATGGAAAACAAAAAACTTGTTTGTCTAATAATTCTCTTTGCAATAAATTTACTTAATTATATGGACAGGTTTACAATTGCAGGTTGTTTTAATTTTGTTGGAAAGTGATTAACCAAAATTAACCAAATTTCTGATTAACCAAAATTTAGGGAAAGGAAAATAGTGAATTTTTTAAAAGAGAAAATTTTTAGAAAATTTCAAAAAAATTTTTTTGCAAAATTTTTAGAATTTTTTTTATAATTTTTAAAATTAAAAAATTTTTTTAGGAGTCTTAAACGATGTCATTAAATTCTACAATATTGACGATAAAATGGCTGGATTCCTTCAAACTGTGTTTATCATCTTTTTTATGTTGTTTGCCCCAATTTGTGGGTGTTTGGGGGATCGGTTTTTTTAAATTAATTTTTCTTTTAAATTTATTTAATTTTTAAGATTTAATCGAAAAATAATAATTTTAATTGGAGAAATTGTTTGGGTACTGGCAGTTTTTGCTTCTTCTTTTATTCCTCAAAATGTTTGGATTTTTTGATTAATTTTTGACTTTATTCTAAAAGAAGGGCGGAATCGGTTTTTTTTGATTACCTGCAAGGAAAGGGAAAATCTGAAGGAAATATGCAAAGGAAAATGGAAGACAGATGGACGGACTCGGACAGACAAAACAATGACAGACTCGGGTCAGACCAAATCGGACGTCTGTCCAAGTCCATCCGTGCCATATCTGACCTAAGCCCGTCCGTGTTTTGTCTGTCCGAGTCTGTCCGTCTCCATTTTCTCTTCGCATTTTTCCTTTCTTTGCAGGTAATAAAAAAAGAACGATTCCGCCCTTCTTTTGGGAATGCCAAATTTTTGAAATTTTTTTAATTTTTTAGCACTTTGCTTCTTTCGTTATTTTACGTGGAATTGTTGGGATTGGAGAAGCTTCCTATGCCGTTGTTGCCCCAACTTTTCTTGCTGATATGTTTGGGGGAAAGACGCGAAGTCGTGTTTTGATGTTTTTTTATTTTGCTATTCCTGTTGGAAGGTTTTTATTTTTTTTTCCTTTTGCCCATTTGGGGGGGGGGGGGGAATTCCCACTACCCCTGGCTACGGGCCTGAATTCAAAGTAAATAACTTTGTTGTATCAATCGATCACGACCTTATAATCAAGATTTTGATTTTTTAGGGACATCCATTCCTTTTTTCGAAGGGTTTATAAATTTGTTTTGTTTTCGTCTAAATCCGTGCTAAATTTTTGGTTTCCTTTCCTTAATTTCTTTTTTGTTCATATTTTTTATTTTTTAGCGGTCTAGGCTATGTAATAGGCTCTTATGTTGCATCAATAGCAAAAGCTGGAAGGACAGACTGTGTGGACTGTTGGCAATGGGGAATTAGGGCAACCCCTATATTCGGTATCGCAACAATTATTGCATTGATTTTTGGAGTGGATGAACCGGTTTGGTTTTTAGAAATGTTTCTGTGATTTTTTTGTTTTAGGTTCGTGGACAAGCAGACCAGGAAGAGAGTGGGCGGACAAATGGACAAACTGAAAGGTTTTTCTAGAATTTTTTAAATTATCTTGGCCAGGAATTATCTTTTGCTGTTTCCTTATACTCAACCATTCCCTAGGACTGAAACTTTGATTTGCCATAACTTGGCCCAAAATCATTTTGCAAGAAAACTGATAACACTTCACAATAGAAAGTCGGGGGTCCTCTATCGAATGGTGTCAAAAAATATATCAAATTCTCACTTACAGTAAAGATGGTTCCTTGAAGATCGATTTTCTAATTATTAAAATTTAATTTAAAATCTTCAAAAATTCTATTTTTTTATAAAATTTAAAAATCGAATTTTTTGTCGGTTTCAAATTTAAGTTTAACAGTTAATTAATTGTTTTGTATTATAAATTCACAATTAAATGATTAAAATAGATACCGTAAATGCTCTAATTAAAGTCCTAGGCCTCCTTTTTTCAATGGGTCACTTTGGGTGGTCTCATAGCAGATATGGGTTTCTAATAGAGACGGGCTTTAATTAGAGTATTTACGTAACTATCCTTTAAATTAAAAAGATCTTAATTTTTAGCAACAATCTAAATAATCGTGTTAATTCTTCAACACCTGCCAACGAGGATATAACCACTACAGCCCCAACATCATTCAAAAATAAATTGTCTAATATTTATCAAGATTTGGTTTATTTAATTGAAAAGTATGTTTTTTATTTGTGTTAATTTTAAAAGAAATATTTTTTAGCCAAACATTTATTTGGTCAACAATAGCTTATACGGCCGTTGTTTTTTCGACTGGGACTTTGACTTGGTTTGGAATTTTATTTTTAAATCTTTTTAAATTTCAACAGAATTTAGATAATTATTTTATACACTGCTTCAGAAAAGCAAGAGCGTATCCAGGGGTTTTCGGGGGCTAATATTGGGAGGTTGTTGGCAAAGAAATTCACTTTTTTGATCGTCCTAATTTTTCCGCAATTTCGGAGGAGGTTGGCTCTAACCCCCTGCCCCATGGATACGTCCTTGCCATAAGTAGAAAGGCACCCATGGTTTCTTATTTTTTCTCGGTTCTACCGAGGCTGCTAATCGAAAAAGATAAGAAAACATGGCTACCTTTATACCTTTTGTAGAGCAGTGTTTATAGATTTGTATATTATTTTTTTAATTCTTATTCATAAAAATTGGAAAATAGACAAAAATAAATATTTTTATTTAAAAAAAAGGTGGGCACCCGCAGCTATAGAGGAAGCAATTGCTTGGCATCATAATATTACAAATGCAACTGCCGTAACAGACACAGAACACGTTGCTTTGACTTTTGGTTTAATTTGAAATTTTAATTTTGTTAGATTAGTTTTTTTAATTTTAGGAGGAATAACTTGTGCTGGTGGAATCATTGGAGTGGCTGTGGGAACTGTTGCTTCTATGGTTTTTTTATTTTTAATTTAAATTTTCTGAAAAATTTTAAATTTTCTGACTGGGTATTTTTAGGAAATTTTTCCCTTTCTTTTTTACATAATTCTTGTATTTTTAAAAAATTTTTTTTCTCGCTAAAATAATTTTTTGGGATTCATTTAATATTTAAAAAAATACAGACCTGAATGTTTAAAAACAATTTTCTAAAATATTTTTTGAGTTCGTTTCCAAATTTCAATTTTCAAACATTTTATCCTTTTCAATATTTTTTTCTTTTATTTTTACGAATGTTTTACACCGAAGAAATTCTATAAAATTTTATTTAAAATTCTGGGCATTTAAATAAATTAAAAATTTAATAAAACAAATTATTTTTATTTTTCAAAAATATTCTAAATTTTTTTTAATTTTTAGGCTTGGAAACGTGGAATAAGCTGTTTCTCTGGATATTCTAATCAACGAGCAGACCCTTTAGTTTCTGCTATTGGCTCTTTTCTGGCAACTCCTTTACTTTTTTTGTCAATTAAATTAATTGATTTAAATTTTATTTTTCTTGCTTGGGTATTTTTTTATTTTAATTTTTTTTAATTTATTTTTTAAAGTTATTACTTTTTCTAACAATTGTGTCTCTTTGCTTGAATTGGGCAGTTAATGTGGATATGTTAATGTTGGTTTTTTTAATATTTTTTTTTGTAAGCTTCCCTCTGCTTTTGGAACCTCGCTGTGTTTTTCACATATGACCTCATTAATGACCGATAAAAAATTTTTTTCGAATCCGATTTTCGAGTCAAGCCTGATTCTTTCCCAAAAGAGATGTGGGTATCTCTATTTGCTGATAATTCGGATTAGATTTTATTAAATCTCTTTAATGCTCCCTCCCACAAGTTCAAAATTCAAAGTATTTTATAATAAAAAAGTGGAAAAACATGTGTATCAAAATATCTTTTACTGAAGTTAGAACAACCTTAGTGTGGGAGCAAAGTTGAGGAATGAGTGCAAATTTTGCAAAATTTTTGTGCAAATTTTTTGTGCTTATATTTTTATTTTCGCTCCCTTGATACGGGTGGGGGTTGGGTTAATAAAAGATTTACATTTTAAATTTATCTCTACAGATATTAATTTCAGGGCTATTATCGTTCCACATCGTCGAGGTATTGCAAGTGCTGTTCAAATTCTTATATCACATGCATTTGGAGATGCTAGTGGACCTTGGATTGTTGGGGCAATTTCTGATTCTGTTTGAATTTTTTAGGACTTAAAAAATTAAATAATTCAAATACAGGTTCGAGGAGAGGATAAAACTCCAGAAGCCCATTTCCATTCATTAGTTATTGCATTCTATCTGCCAAATGTTTTATTATTTTTGAGTGGAGTAGGCTTCCTTTTGGCTGCCTATACATTACCTAAGGACTTAAAACTGGCTGAAGATTGGAGAACAAATAGGCGAGGGACAGGTGGTTCTGCACAATTGACAGGGGTTACACAAACAGGTAAAAGGAAATTTTTGACAATAATTATAATAGTTAACTTCTCTCAAGAATAGTGGGTTTGTTGAATCTTACCTATATCTTGGATAACTTGATATGTTGACTTACCCCCTTCAAAATAAACCCCCATTTCGAAAATAAGTCCCTTCTAAAGGCCAATCGAAAGAAATAAGCCCCGGGGCTTATTTTAGAGGAGGTCCCTAGTTATTCTACAATAGCTAACGCCATAACCGCTTACGAAACTTTATAATTTTTTTCACTCCTGCCTATCCTATGTTCAAAATTTCTGTCGAAATTTGAAAAATAATTTTAGTTATCCCGTTTTAAAAAATTTTTTTTTACTTTTCGTCCTATCCTTCTTAAAAAAATATTTTTATTTTGCCAGTTTTAAAGTGATTCTTTTAACTTTAAAAATTTTTCAGCAGATACAGGTCATCTGCCTTTAGATGATGGAAACTTGTCGCCTTCAAATAGGTTAAATCAATATCAAAACGAAGCTTTTGATCCATAACAACATATCTATATTTAAATTTTTACTGCATATTATTTTTTATTAACCACTTTTTGGAAATTAATTTATGTATGTATTATTCACTAGAGTGCATTATTCACTATCTGTGCATTAAATACTTAATATAATACCTAAATTTCTATTACAAATTTTAAAACTTATATAAAAATTGATACATTTTATTGTTAAATAATTACATATTTAGTATTTATTTATTAAAATGATTTCTTCATCATTTTTATTTCATTGAATCTAATTTCTAATACATTAGTTTCTGAGTGATTTTAGATACAAACTTTTGATTTTGCGACTTATAACTGCCTTAGCTTTTCAGGTAATAAAAATTATTTTTGCAACAGACAAATCTTTACTTCAGAAATTTTATTAATAAATATGAAGAACTGATACAAAATTGAAGTTTATGATGTTATGGGCGTAAGAAGTAGAATAGTATAAAAGCCATCAATTAGTTAATTTCCAGTCTCTTCGCCTCTTCATTCTACTTACCACAACAAATTGTATTTTCTGCGTGATAACGTTTTCTGTTTGTCTACGTAAGCGGGGTCATAACAGTTAATTAATTTATTTTACTAATTTTTACTTTTTAGCTTTATACTCACAATAGCTTGTTACATTCATATGCTGAATTTATTAAACCAGGATCAGATCTTTATGGATTTCAATTGGATAAACAACTTAAGAAAAGGTTAGAAATTAATATTTTTTAATTAAAATAAATTTTTACTAGATAAAAGGAATAGAAAATCAATGCCTGTTTTTAAGGGTTGATGAAACAAAAATCTAAATGAGGTTTGCATTGACAACCGAGAAGGAGAATATGGATTATTATGATCAAATTATTGAAATGAATAGAAGGAATTTAAAAGAATTTTGTTAACTCATTTTGACTTTAAATATTTTGCATATTTTTTTTGTTTGTTTTAGTGCAACTGTAATCGAATCATTTAGAGAACATCTTGTTAAATAAAATTTGTTGGCATGTTTAAAATTTGTTGTATCAAGTTTTTTATTACTCTAGTTGTTTTCTATGCGTGATCAATCATAACTGAATTTTAAAAGCCGTGGAGTTCACGGTATGGTCATTGTCACATTATGTCTAATTTGAATTGAAAGAATAAAAAAGTAATTTAAGATTTACAAAATATTAATTTACTTTTCATTTAAAATATTTACAAGAGATAAATACGTGTAAAAATTTTCTTTGAAGTTAAAATTTGGGTTTTTTTTCGCTTAAACTCATGAGATAGTAAAATCTCTTGGCTCTAATTAAAGATACGGGACCATGTCTTTAATTAGAGCCAAAATTTTTGCCCTTTATATTGAATAAAATTTATTTGATTTTTAAAAATTTCTTCATTAAATTTTTTATTCGAATATTAAAATATTTTAATTTATTAAATTTAAGAATTTCAAAATAAATTTAAAAATTTGCTTGTTTTTATTTTATTTTGTTTTCCAATTTTGTTTGAACGGAGGAAGTGAATTTGATGAATTGATGGACTCAATTAAGGATGCGGAAATGAAGCAATATTTGGGAAAACATCTTGCGAAGTTGGAGGGGAAATTTAGCATTTTGAAAGTAAAATTGAAAAAAAGTTTCTTAAAATTTTTTAAATTTTAGTTAAAACATAAATCTTTGGGTAAACATCTAAATTCATCCACTAAGAAATTATTTAAAGAATTAAAAGAAATTGTGGAAGAGGATAATTGGAATAATTTAAGTGAATTTTTAAATGATGGAAAAACTTTTCTAGAGAATATTTGTAAAGAAACATTTGAAGCATGTACACATCAATACAACGATATTAATTACAAGGACGCTTTAACCGTAATTTCTAACAACAAGCACAAATTTTCTGGAATTTTTAAATTTTGGCATAAAAAAATTAATTCAAAAATTAATCCACTTCCTCATACCCAACGCCGAACAAAACGTGCTTTCAATAACGAAATGAAACCTTATGGGACTATTGACCTGGTAAACGAATTTGATCAATTTATTTGTTTAATTTATCTACTTTTCTGCATTATGTTGTTAGTTGATTTGCTTTTAAATAGAAGACCACTTTTTTAAGGAGTTTATTAAAGATTTATTGGTGATTTATTCATATTGGATTTTTGTAATTCCCTCTAAGTAATACAGTGGTGGTCATATGTTTATGGACAACAACGATTTATTAATAATATCCTTCATAACGAAACTAAATAAGAATCAATCGAAAATAAAAAACGACAGTTCAGATACTCAGTTCATTTGCTATAAAATATTTTAGTTTCAATAAAATCCACCATCATTATCATAATTAAAATCCGGTCTAAATATATTTACCCCTATTTTTAAAGCGTCATATGTTTATGGACAAATGTGTATTCCATCTAAAACTTTTTAGTTTAATGCCAAAAAATGAGATTATCGCTACTCCGTGGACACCTTCATTGATATTGAGTAGAAAATAAAAAGAATGAAGTCTGTAACTTCCTTCTTCATCGAGATCTCGAATCTCAAAAATCAACGGAAAATGGGGGTACAGTACTTTAAAAAATATTTTTACCCCCTAGAGCTTTTATAAAAAAATTTCTTTTAGGCCTATCTGAAAGCCAATAAAATTTGCTACAAAATAGTACAAGTTTTTATTTTTCCAATAAAAACTCATGGAGCTGAAGGTAGGGCAATTTCTTATGTTACCATTTTTGGGGTATTTTAGGTGATTTTTGACCATTTTTATGTGAAAGTCGATGTACGTCGAACAACTATTTTTTAGAATAAATGAGACCAGAACTATTTTGTAGTAAATTTTATGGGCTTTCAAATGAGCCTAAAAGAAAATTTTTTATAAAAGCTCTTGGGGGTTAAAATATTTTTTGAAGTACTGTACCTCCATTTCCCGTTGATTTTTGAGATTCGAGATCTCGATGATGAAGTAGGTTACAGACTTCGTTCTTTTTGATTTTCTACTCAGTATCGTTCGAAATGTTTACAGAAATTTTTGTAGAATTTTTGCACTAAATAAAGTAGGAAAATCCAAGGTTATTTAATTTGTCCATAAACATATGACGCGTTAAAAATAGAGATTTGGAGAGATTTGGACCGGATTTTAATTATGATAATGATGGTGGATTTTAATGAAACTAAGGTATTTTATAGCAAATAAACAGGGCATTTGGACCACCGAATTTTATTTTCGATTGATTCTTATTTAGATTTGTTATGAGGGATTTTATTGATAAATCGTTGTAGTCCATAAACATATGACCATCACTGTATGTATGTATTAAATCACATCTTTATTTTAGTCCTTCCTATTAACTTCATTTTTTCAAATTTCTTGGGATAACATAATCCATATTTCTCTTTAACACCGGCAAAAATAAAATATCATTTTTTGATTGCAGACGAAAATTTCTAAAATGTTGGAAAATCTTCTCTTTTATCATTAAATATGGGATACAAGGGATCTGTCAGGATTAAGGAGGATATCGAAAGATTTGGACGGATATCATAGATTTGAGGGGATGTCAGAAATGTGGAAGTTTGAAATTGATTTTTTCCCTTCTTTGGGTGTGATTAAGTAGGATGACATTGGGAAATCCTAGAATGTCCGTATCCCAATATGAACAGAAAATCCAACACCTTAGTCATGCTACATTTCTACTAGTGTTTCACCGGAACCGAAATTTTGACCGGAACCGGAACCGGAACCGGATCCAATTTAAGTTCCGGTTCCCGGAACCGGAACCGGAACTTTTCTAAGTTCCGGCCCGGAACCGGAACCGGAACTTTAAAAAATTTTTTTGCTAGCAAATTTTAAAAAATTTGCATTTTGATTTGGGTTGTAGGTTTCGCCAAATTTTTCGGTTAACCGAAACCGAACCGTCTAACCGAATAGAAACTTGGTTAACCAAAACCGAGCCGAAAATTTGTCGTCGTTAAGTGATATATGTGGATTAGAGAGTGGTGTATAAACGGATTTGTCGGATATAACTGTTTGATATCGGGCGATAAAAAGGTTCTGAATTGCAAGAAAATCCCATATCTACCTACTCAATTTCTCGATATCACACCCAAATCCACGATATTACCTATGACCGTTTGAAATCATGATATAATCAAAATCCAAATTAATCCATCCAAATCCTCCGATATAACATTCAACTTCTTTTTAAGCGCCGCAGGCGAAAAATTTTGAGAATCTGTGAGGACAAGAAGCCAAATTTCTTCCCTTTTCAGCGCCGCAGGCGAAATTTTTGAAAATTTATGAAGGCCATAAGCAAAAAAATTCACTATTTATAAGTCAAACTAAAAATTTTAAGAAATTTAGAGGGCCAAAAAACCACAATTACTCCATGTAAAAATAAAATAATTTTAAAAACAAAATTATAAACTTATAAAATAAGTTTTTAAGGAAAGAAAAACATGCAGATTAATTGTCCTATGCCTCGGAAGCGAACCCATCTTTAAATCATTCACGCCAAGGGTGAAGTCTAACACCTTAACCACTCGGCCACCCGCTTATATTAGGTCAA